TTTTTTTGAGACAGGGTCTCACTATGTAGCCCATGCTGTCCTGGAACTTACTGTGTAGATCAGGCTGTCCTCAAACTCACAGAGATCTACCCATCTCTGCCTCCAGAGTACTGGGATTAAAGGCGTGCACCAACACTATCTGCTTTCTTTCTCTCTTTTGCGCCCAGGACTGGGCAGCTTTTCTCTTTGCACTTATGTATCATCAGAACTAGGACATGCTTGTCAGAGGGAAGGGTAAAGTTCCTGTCTACTGAAGTAAGTGACTAGGAGATTTTCTGGGGCCCAATGTGGTCAGGGCCCTGCCCATCTTTGTCCCTGTCCCCTACAGGGCCTTACTCAGGACTAAAAGTGAAGAGTGGAGGGAAAGGAAGGTTCCCTGAACATCAGACTCTTTCCACCTCCCTGGCGGCAATCACTAACGCTGCTGCAGGCGCAGGGCAGCAAATGTGTCTCTGAAATCTTTGCTTCATTTTCCAGATAGATATATAGAAGTGGATTGCGGCATCTGAATATAGTTTCCAATAGACGAATGGAGAAAATGACAAGAGTATTAACCTTCAGAATAAGAAAATCGGGCAGAGGAGGCAGCTTAGTGGGTAAAGTACTTGCTTGGGTGACCAGCTGTAACCCCAGTGCTGATGGGGGCGGGGCAGGTGGATCCCTGGAGCTTTGTGGCCAGCCAGGCTACCCCAACTGTGAGTCCCAGTTTTTAAAGTTGGGGAGTGACAGACAAAGGTACCTGGCCTCCACCTCTGGCCTCTGTGTGTGCAAGCATGGTAACATACTTCTCCTGGCCCCTTTCCCCCACTGCCTCTTTCCTGGACCTGCTATCATCCTACAGCAGACATGCCTCACCTCTGCTCAGCCGGAGCCAGACACAGCTTCTGACCTACTATGCCAGCCAGCATGCCAGCCCGCTTGGCCCCTCCCCACTGTGTGCACATGAGCCGGCTTCCCATCTGAGATGGGGTGTGTATAGTTTTCCCTGGTCTAACTCCGGTTCCTTTCCTGAATTCAGCCTCTCTCAGCAAAGGCTACACTAGTCATGGATGACAGAGAGCTGACCAAGCATTTGTGGTTCCCACTTCTCCACCCACCATGGCTCCCAGCGAATGGGCTGATTTCTAATGGTTACTAACTAGAGATCAGAACTACGCCCTCCCAGCCCTTTCTTGTTTGGTTCTGAGGTAAGTACTTTATTTACTTCTTCACTATCAGAAACACAAGCTTCTATGTGACAGAGGCTACCCTTCATCTACCAGTTCCCCTACTTACCTCAGCAGTAGGACCCCTACCCAGAGTAAAGTATTTACTAGCTTCCCGTGTGTTAGGTGCGGTCTAAGCTTAAGTTAACGTCCCCAGACTCAGAGAGAACATCTCAGTGGCACGTCTTCATTGTTGTTCCAAACCTGTTCCATAACCACCATGGTAATTAAACACAGACCCACACCATTCTATGGCTGGATGAGCGTCTGGACTGACCTGGGGACCTGGGGACATTATGTCTGCTTGCACTCACCTGTGTTGTAGTGCTTGGTGCAGTATCTCAGGTCCTTCTCTTCCTTCAGGATAAACTGAGGCAGGGTCAGTCCATCTGCTACCTGTACAGCTCCTTGCTCCTGCCACTCAAAGATGAGGTCGTTCATGGTATATCCAACTGGGAGACACCGGAAGAGGAGGCGGTCAGCAAGGACTCAGCATTACACTTAGGACTGGAGGCTGGGCGGAGCCCCAGAGCGTGGTGGAAGTTAGGGGACTCCGTTGTCTTTTCTTCTTCACCTCCACAAGAGGTGAAACTTGTTTAAATTAATTCCCCAGCCCTCCCACCTAAGTTTGTCCTGGGGCTCTGCCCCTCACCCCATGGCAAAGGGTGATTGACACCAGCAATTCTTGCACATGGCATCCCTAAAGCTTCCTTTTTTTGCTCCCTAGGTTTTTCTCTGGGGTGTGTGACTGTCTTGTATGCTCTCAATGAGAATAGCAGGTGGCTCAGTCAAGGCTATCAGATTTTTGCCCCAGCACCAACTCTCCTTTATTTTTTAGGACATGGTCTCATGTAACCCAGGCTAGCCTTAAACTCACTATGTAGCTCAGTCTCTCTTGAAACTTACAACCCTTCTGCCTCAGCCTTCTGTGGTGTACACCACCTAGCTCTTTCCTAGCTTGTGTGTGTGACATGAGAGCATGTTCACGCGGTTACGAAAATGTGTGTGTGTGTGTGTATAGGCCAGAAGCTGAGAGCTGATGTCGGGTTGTTTCTCAGTTGTGCTCCACCTCATTTATTTTAGAAAAGTTTTTATTGTATTTTTAAATTGTGTGCGTGTGCGTGTGTGTGTGTGTGTGTGTGTGTGTGTGAGAGAGAGAGAGAGAGAGAGAGAGAGAGAAAGAGAGAGAGGGAGGGAGGGAGGGAGGGGGAGAGATAGTGTCTGTGAATGCCAAAACCATGTAGATGGCTTCGGAGATCAAAGGAGTCAGATTTTCCTAGAGTTGGATTTTTAGGTGGTTGTGGGCTGACCAGTGGGTGCTCGGAATTGACCTTGGGTCCTTTGCAACAGCAGTATAAGTTGTTGTTGTTGTTGTTCTTCTTCTTCTTCTTCTTCCTCTTCCTCTTCCTCTTCCTCTTCCTCTTCCCCTCCCCCTCCCCCTCCCCTTCCCCTTCCCCCTCCCCTTCCCCTCTCCTCCTCCTTTCTTCTCCTCTCTCTCCCTCTCCCCCTCCCTCTCCCCTCCCCCCTCTTCCCCCTTTCCCCTCTTCCTCTTCTTCCTCCTCTTCCTCCCCTCCTCTCCCTCCTCCTCTTCTTCCTTCTCCTTCTTCTCCTTCTCCTCCTCCTTCTCCTTTCTCCTCCCTCTCCCCCTTCTTCTCCCCTTCCCCCTCTTTCCCCTCTTCCCCCTCCTCCTCCCCCTTCCCTTCCTCCTTTTCCTCCTCTTCTTCTCCTCCTTCTTCTTCTCCTTCTCCTCCTCCTTCTTCTTTCTTCCTCTGTTTTATATGCATTAGTGTTTTGCCTACATGTATGTCTACGCGAGAGTGTTGAGGTGCCATGTGGTTGCTGGGAACCCAGGACCTCTGAAAGAGCAGCCCGTGCTCATAACTTCTGAGCTATCTCTCCAGTGGTCACCTTATTTTATTATTATTTTTGAGACAAGATATCTCACTGAATATGGAGATCATTGATTCAGTTAGCTTGGGTGGCGAGTGTGTTCCACTTCTACACCCCTAGCTGTGCCTGGCTTTGACATGGTCCTGGGGATCCAAACTCAGCTTCTGATGCTTGCATGGCAGGCATTTTACCCGCAGAGCCTTTTCCCTGACCCTGTCTCCTGCTTTCTGAAATGTGCTCCACCAGTTCCCCTTTGCTGGAGTGACCTGTGTGATTAGTTGTCTCCCTCCCCTGCTGAAGTGAGCACCTTCAGACTGTGATTTCCCTCAGCCATCTCTCTTCATTCCTGGCAGGCACATGCACAAGGGACTTGGCACAGTGCCTCCTCCTGGGAGAATGCAGCTGATGACAATGCCTGGGCCCCAGTGAGACAGAGCGGGGTGAGGGGGGGCAGCAGGAGTTATGTTTCTAATGCATTTTCTCAATGCAAGCCCCTCACTTGGTACTCTGAGTTATAAGTACTCTCCTGGGCTCCAGCGATTAGGGGATTTCTGCCTGGCAATGGGTAAACAGGAGTCTGACTCCTTAAAAAAGAGATTTGGACTCACAGCTTTCCAGTTGCATGATACATGTCTGTACATCCATCGGGAAATTCTTCAGGTCCATGGGGCAGGCCAACGTCAGGGTGATTCTGGGAAGAGAAGGGATAGGGTTGATGCTGGGACTACATTCAGGGGGTCTGTGCCTCCGTACTTGTGCTGGTTGAAGTCATTGTTCCAGGGTGGGGACCGGCAACCAGGGGACCAGCGCCTATAGAATACATGTGTGTACATTTCCAAACCTCTTGAATGGGAAGAGAAGGCTTGTCAATGGAAAAGAGGTGGCCCAAAGTCATCAGTCAGAGGTACTTCTTCTTCTTCTTCTTCTTTTTTTTTTGAGCCATCTTGGATGCTACAGACCCATTTTTAGCAGGTTGCTAGGGCACCAGGTGCTGCCCCCACGGCCCTCCCTCAGGTTTTCCACGGAGTCCCCAGCCTCAGGTACTCCCATGCTTCTGCAGTAAGTCCTGCACGTGGCTCTTGGCCGCTTCTGTTCATACACTGAGCCTGTCAGAAGTGAGTTCAGAACTGTTCTCCCCTCCCCACCTCCGGCTGTTTCCACACAATAGCCTTGTGTCTGTGAGTTCAGTCAGGCACAGGGGGAAAGCAGTGAGTCTGTTATTTATTTTGGGGTGTTCAGCCTTATAAAGACTGCAGCCCCAGAGGCAGAAGGAGTCCTTCTGTGACATCCCAGGCTGGTAGCCTAGGCTGTGATAACAACTTTGGAAGTCTTTGCTCACACCAGAGCTCAGGCTGCAGAGGGGAGTGGAGGGCTCTTAGACAATCAGGCTCTTTCCCCGTCTGTGCTAAAGTCATGTGGATGGAGATTTTTGCATGCTGAGTCCGTTGGCTCTTGGGTTGACTGCTATACTATTCATTCCTGCCGTCCTGAGGCTAGTCCCTCTTCCTTGAGGTACCCAGTTGGGGATATCTCCATAGAACATAGCTACTGCCACCTCAGCTGCACACCTGGCCCCTTGGGAACTTCTTTTTCCAGCTCATATCTCCAGTACGTGTACTTCCCAATATGGACAGAACAGAAGCAGGAGGGGGGATGGGGAGGAAGAGGGAAGAGAAGGGGTGGGGGTGAGGTGGGGAGGGAGAGTGAATGGAAAACCAGCTGGCCCATTTCTGAAGATAAAAGCTCTGAAGTGGAGCAGCTGTCAGGATGGGTTAATTTCCAGATGCTGAATGTCCTTGGGACCATCACTTTCTGCTGACCTGTCCTTCTGCCAGCTTGCACTGGGACTTGGTTTTCCAGAGACATGAAACTGTCCTGGCAGCAGTGAATTCTAGGCAGAGGTGACCCTCCCTCCAGCAGCCCACCAGGACCTTGGCGGCTGACTCCATGTCCTTCTTCATCTAGATGTGACTGGTTAGTTGGATGCAATCAGCAGAGCTTCTGCTGCCCCTCAATGGTGAGGGTTCCATGCCCCTTCTCCACAGACTGTGAACGATAGAGTCCAGTTGTCTCTGAGGGTCAGGATCAGCCCAGGCTCTTCACTTTCCACTCTGCTCCATCCTGGATATTTAAGGTTCCTATCTGAATGGGAGGTAAGACTTCTCCCTCACTGAGGAGCTGAAGGTGGGAGAGATGGCCTTTAAGCACTCTGAAGCTCTTTTAAATCAGAGAACAGCTATTCATTATCATGTATTGATGTGCAGATGGAAATGGTGGCTGGTGGCCATTCTGATGCTTATGAAGTTATAGGGCCCGACTGGAAAGCTGTGGCTCTTCTGATGTCCCAGAGGGCAGGGGACTTAACACTAGCACCCCATCAGTACCTACTCTCGGACAGGAGTTGTGGATAATTGGCCGAGTTTCCTACATTTTCACATCCCCACTTCTCTGCTCTACGCAACGGGGATCATCAAACCTACTTCATGAGTTATATAATGAAATACTACACGAAAAGTGTTCTGCAACGTCTGCTTTCCAAGCTGTCATAGTTGAGTGTGAGCCATATTGCTATTTCCATTGTCCATTGTCCCTGTGCCCCAGACAAGGAGATTAGGGACTAAGTGTGCGGGTGGCAGGGAGTGGGAGTCACAGGACACTCTGAAAGTTTAGCAATCTACAAGATACAATCAGCAGGGGGGAGGACTTGATTCCCAGGACTTAATACAGGGTAAGTGGGATTCAAAGCAGGGAGGTGGCAGCTCTGGCTTATCCTTGTGGATGATGCCATTTACATGGTGGTCAAATTTGCCACCAAGCAGCTGTGTCTTGTCAAACTTTGTTCCCAACACTTGCTTGCTGAGAACACTTGGTGGCTGAGAAGTCTATTTTGTCTTTGTTGAAACACAGAGTGACCTAAACTCCAGCTTCCCTCACAAGCCTTTCCCACCCTCTCTCCTTGCTTTCGATGAAACCCTTTCCTAGGATTCCCGGCCTTGTCGTTGGCTCTGGAACTCACCTGATGCTGTAAAGGACGTTGCCATTTCGGGAGATTCTCAGCAGTTTGTTGTCAGTGGTGATCTCGTGGAAGTGAGCCCCTTTCTCATTGGCAAAGAACAAGTCAGGCTTCCATATGGAATCCAGCATGGACGGATCGAGGTCCAGAGAATCGTCAGGGTATTCATTGTAGGCCAGACGGGGGTCATTCCACTGCTGCCTCAGGAAGATGTTCACCCTGTAGTCCTGCAGCCCAAGACAGCAGTGGGGGTGCGGTTAGGCTCTGCGTGTGAACTCTCAGAGGGCCCTGTGCTTCTGGCTCATGGGTCCTAAAGCCTATCTTGGAAGATACTGAGTGTGGTTGCATGTCTGGGCACCAAGGACCAATATCACCTCTCTCCATCCTCAGCTAAGTATATGCAAATCTGAACTTTAGAAGAAATGTTTTATTTTGAAGGGATTTTAGGTGGGCATGGTGGCTCATGCCTGTAATTCCAGCATAGGCAGTTGAGGTAGCAGTACCACCATGAATTTGAGACCAGCCTGGGTTACACAGCACATTCTGGGTCAGGACTTCAGAGCACAACCCTGTATTAAAACAACAAAGAAACAAACCAAACCAAACCAAACCAAACCAAAAACAAATTAAAGATAAGTTTCAAAGACTAATGTAAAACGATCAGTTTTTCTTTGAAATTAAAATTTTTCTCTTTCTGTCCTTCTTCCTTCCTTTCTTTCTTTCTTTCTTTTTGTATGTGTGTGCAGCACACATGTGGCAGTCAGAGGACAACGTGTGGCAGTCAATCATCCTCTCTCACCATGCGGGCTCTGGGGATTGAGCTCAGGTCATTTAGACTTGGTGGCAAGCATCTTCACCTAGAGCCAGCTCTTCAGCTGATGCTTTTATCTTCCTCTTAACATTTGGTTACATTTACTTGCTATTTTTAGGTGAGGGTATTTTTATTTTATGTGTTTGAATGTGTGTATGTGTACCACATGTATGCCTGGTATCTGAGGAGGTCAGAAGAAGGAACACTGTTGTACCCCATTAACTCCCATTTAAAAAAAAAAAAAAACGGGTCTCTCTGTGTAGCCCTGGCTGGCTTGAGACTCACTGTGTAGACCAGGCAGACCTCCAACTCAAAGATATCCACCTGCCTCTGCCTCTGGAGTGCTGGGATTAAAGGTGTGTACTGTGATGTCCAGTTTACTCCTCTACAGTGTAAATAAAAAACTGTGAAAAGAGAAGTCCCAGGTCTTTTATAGTGATGTAGTTTGAGGTCATTCTGGAATGCAGGCAGCTGGGCAGGTCCTGCTGAATCCTTGTTCAACTGCTCTTGCTGATCATAGACTCTGAGAGGCCGTTTTATCTTCGTTCACACCTGAGAAAGTTGTCAGGAAACTGGGCAGATGTGACTAACAAGTGTTCTATCAGAAGATATTCCATAAGAAGTCTTTTAGGGGCTTGAGAGGCACAGTGGTTAAGAGCACCCCCTGCCCTTCCAGAGGAGCCACTTCAATTCCTAGTCTCCAGTTGGCAGCTCACAACCACGTGTAACTCCAGCTTCAGGGCAATTTGATACCTTCTTCTGGCATCTACCAGTTGCACTCCACCAACACACACACACACACACACACACACACACACACACACACACACACAAAATAAGACTTAAAAAAAGAGAAGTGTTTTAACTTTGCTGGAGAGGTACTGTAAACTTGTAGCCCTTGAATGCAGCAGCACTATAAACAGAATTTGTAGTGCATTTGTTTCCCAAGGTAAAGGGCAGAGCCTCAGGGTTGGGGTTTCCAAAGGGTATCACTGTCCCAAAGATTAATGACCCCAAGTCTGACTTTTGATGCTAACCTTTAAGAAGACACACACACACACACACACACACGCATACAACCATACTCACGCACACCCCACACTTATGTGTGGGAAAACTCTGCTAATTAAGATCAAAGTCACCATGACCAGATAGCCTCTGAGCTTGGTGCAAAATGGGAGACTTCCTGGTTAGCAGGTTTTCTCCTACTCTGACCTTGCCCTGGGGATTCTAAGCACCCCCTCCCCCACCCGAGGAATGTCATGCAGCCTCAGTTAGTTTATAGGATCAATTTCTTTTCTTCTGACAAAACTTGTTCAGCCAGCACCTGAGATTCCTAAAATGCTTCCCCATGCTAATGAGGTATGCCAGGTACACTAAGCCCCCAGCCAATGACCTTTGCCCATCCTGGATGTCCCTATCCTCAGTCCCCCAACCTTTTAAGTCTTCATTCATCCTAAGTAAAGCTGATCTGCCTACTGACGTGTGGTTCCAGTGTGGTCATTTGCTGTAGATACTCACAGACCCCCGAGGACTGTATCAGCCAATGATTCACGAGGATGGAGAGATCTACACCCATGTACCCACTCCATATTCACCCCTCCCCCACATACATCCCTGTACACATTCTAGAGATCGCTCTTTCCCCGAGGGTGCCATAAAAAGGAAGCCACACTTTCTCTTGGGGTGGGACTTCTGAGCCCTCATTAGTCTTGATCTGTCTCTGGCAGGGATGAATGAAAACAAATGGTCTCCGCATGGTCACCCCACCCCTGCCCACTGCCTCCCATGTGCTTCATTCTGGTGGAAATATCGATAGCTTCATAAAACGTTCTAAAGCATTTTATAGGATTTTCCTATAATTTAATTGCAGCCCGTCCCTCAAGCCCCATAGAAGGTGACATTCAGTCTCATAATCTCAGGTCTTATGAGTCTCATGATGGAAGCTAGGCCTGGATATTGTTGTTTGAATTTTTCTTTTAAGTTGTGGAGTTGGAGAGATGGCTCAGCAGCTCAGAGCACTGGCTGTTCTTCCAGAGGACTCCGGTTCAAATCTGAGCACTTACATGGAGCTCACAACCATCTTTAACACTAGTTCCAGGGAATTTGACACTCTCTTATTGCCTCAATAGACCCACATGCACAGACCTACATGAGGTGAAACTCACATGAGGTGTATCATGTGAGTGAAGTGAGTGAAGACGTGGAGGTCAAAGGTAAGTTCTCTCCTTTCACTATGTAGGACTCTGGACTCGAAGTTGGGTTCTCAGGCTTGGTGGCAGGTACATTTAAGACCCGTCTCACCGATCCTGGATGTTGGGTTTTGTTTGTCTTGCACTGGTGGTGGCATCTTTAAAGTTGGCCCCTCTTCTCCTTCTCCTTTGGAGCTTACTCAGAGAGTGTGTGTTAGGGTGGGATCTGGGAAAGTCATCTGGAAGTGAACAGGCTATGAATGGTTGGGCAGAAAAAGCTACCAGTCCCCAGATCCCAGCCATACTTTAGATGTTCCTGCTAGTGACACGTCAAAACTGCTCATGGAGCTTCGAGGAGGAAAAGGAAGTGACATTTCTTAAAATGTTTTCCATACCGTCACACACACTTACTTATCACAAATGCTCTGAAAGCAAACATCCAGATTTCCACAGCCATGGGGAGAACTAGGCTTGAAAAGGCTGAGGCATGTGTCCAAAATCAGGGCGCACCGTTGGGATTGCATTGACCAACCCTCTGGTGAACACTTGACTTGGATGGAGGGAGTCTGTTCTTGTTTTGGATGCTCTGTCCTTGTTCCCTGGCAAATTCTGTGAACTCAGCTTAAGTCCTGCCCTCTTTTGGAGCTGGATGCAGCAGGTATCTCCAGCTTTCTTGCTGAACTCCCAGAAGGATGGAATTCTCAGAAACACTGATCTGAGTGCTTCTTCCCTGAGAGTAGCTCCTCCCCTCCCCCAAGCATGATTGGCAGCAATTGGGAAGAATGATGGTGAACTCATGCTTTTCCACAGCATCTTTGCCACTCTTAATGGTCCTCACCTACTTTCATGTCTTATCATTTTCTTTCTGCAGAACTAGTGCATGCAAACAAAGAGAAAGGTGCATTGTTTGAAAGAAGAAAACAGGTCCCAGAGGATCTCATTATAAAAGGACTAATGAGTGTCAGAGCAAGAGACTGGGATGGCATATTGTGAGGTTCTTGATGCCTGACATCTCTGGCCAGTGGCCTCCAGTTCCTGACAGATTCTCGGCTCCTGACCTGTGATCGTTGGTTCCTCCTGGACTCTGGTTCTCAGATAAGTTCCCACTATGGTGCTTTCCATCCTGGGGTTGGTGAAAAGTTGTGGGAAATGTAGCTCAGAAGGGATGGAAATGACTGGTGCAAGGGGCTGAAAACCAAGTGCTGCTTTGGTTTCTTAGCCTTACAGTTTGCTAGCTCGGTGTCTGACACATGTGCAAGTTTAGGGAGTCAGAGAGGCAACAGTAGAATTCTCTAAGCCAGGACTTATGGTCCTACTTCCTCAAAGGCAGCTCAAATCTCCAAAGTGGGGGCATTCAGAGGTGTAGTCCAACTATCTTCAGCGTCAATGCAACCATCTTGTAAGACTTGAAATGCCCTGACACTCTGATTTCTGATAATTGGACAACCAGTAGCTTTGTTTATAGGACCAAGGAAAGACATTAACTTACCCATCTATCCATAATTCATTCATCTGTCATCCATCCATCCACCCATTTGTCTGTCCATCCATCATTAGTTTGTCCATCCATCCATCCATCCATCCATCCATCCATCCATCCACCCTCCACACATTTGAAGGCTTCCTATATGTCACTTATAGTTGGATTTCCCCCTCTTTCCTTCTTTATGGTGTCTAATTTAATATTCTAACACCTAATAAGTGCCTCTAAATTCAGAATTGTGGTGAAATAGGAAGCTCAAAATGTTCGAACAGGAAAGATCTCAGAGCTTGTGAGGTGTGTTATTAGAAAGGAGATGTGGAAGGCAAGAGACACACTCACTGTTATTAGAAGCAAGAGACACAGGAGTAAGGAATGGATGGAAGAAGCAAACTCAGGTTCCTATTTCCTTTCTTTATTTTTTTTTATTTTTATGTGCACCCCAGGTTGTCCTCAAACTCTCCATCCTCCTGCCCCTGCCTCTTGAGTGTTGGATTATAAGTGTATGGCATTGTATTTGGAGCCGTACACCTTTTAAAAAGCAAACAAAGCTTTATTACCTTTTGGGTATGCATGTGTTTACCTGTTACACATACACATTACACATGTTATGGCATGAATGTTGAGGTTAGAGAACAACTTTCAGGAATTGGTCCTCTCCTGTACTGTGTAGGTTCTGGGGCTCTAACTCAGTTTGTGAGGCTTTGAGGCATTTGCCTTTATCATCAGAGCCATCTTGGAGCC